GTGACTTTCAGGTCCGGTCGCCGGCGCCCTCGGTGGCTGTGAGCTCCCTCCTGCCCTGTCCCGATTCCTTTCCGCCGATTCCTGTGTGACGGGAAAGGAACAGTCAGAGTCGGGAGAAGGACCGAGGGGGTGAACTGAGCGGGAAATGAAGCTCCCCCCTCCTGTAATCAGAGTTCCGCCCGGCCCGTGTCCGTGATGACGTGGACTCCGACCCGAAAGTTCACCTTCTCAGTTCAGGTCCATCTCCGGCCCTTGAAGACGTTCGGATAACAGGCTCTGTCTTCATTAAGTCCAGCGGCGTCCTCCACGTAATTAAAGCCAGGATCTGCCGGAGAAAGACGCCCGTTAGGTGTCACTGTGCACGAGACAGTGAGTCTCTGCAGTCGCCCCACCTGCCCCTCAGGCCGGGTCGGCTATTTGCCCCGTGCTGGGGGGTCGACAGGTGTGGCCTGGACACGGTTTACTCCCGTGGCAGACGGAGGAGACGCGGACAGGCTGTGGTCACACACACGCGGAATCACACGCAGAGTGTCGGACGCTGTGTCCCTTCCTTTCGTCAGAGGGGCGGAGAATCATTTCCCTAAGAATCGCAAAAGGGGGTGTTGGCGATGTGCTCAGAGCTCCCTCAGATTTAAGCCACATCGAACTATTTTTTGCAGCGTGATGGCCGCCAAGCCACTGTACGCGGGCCTCTGGGTGGGCCGTTTCCTGATTCAGCTCCACGCCCGGCCTGACGGTGTATCGAGCACCTACTAAGTGCGAAGGATGCCGGGCCCTGCGGGAGGCAGCAGGCCGCCTAGGAAACCGATTCTGCCCTCAAAGAGCCTGGACTCTGCGGGACAGGCGGAGAGAAATACTTACATTTACTATTAAAGCCACTTACCCCGTAGCTTGTTTCAGTACCTTGTGCCCCGTGTTATAAGTAAATCGCGATGCGGGTGTCGGAGAAGGGCGCAGGGTCCCGAACGAGAGCCTGGCGAGGGCTTCGAGACGGCGTTTTGTTTGCGCTGAGGAGGAAGCGGGCAGAGCACCTTTCAGGAAAGAAACCGCGTGACGCTTCCTGCAGGGCGGTTAGGCTGGTGGGGGAGCCCGGGCCTCCCTGCCGCGTGCGCCCGGGGAAGCGAGGACTGCGGGGGACCGCCCGCCGCGGGCAGGCTGCGGGGATCGTGAGCCCGCGCCGGGGACTGTAGGCGCCGCTTGGCAGTTCCTCGGGGGCCGCTTAGCAGGCACCCAAACGCGCTGGCCGACTGAACTGGGGCCAGAGCCTGCGCCGCGGGGGATGGATCCGCCCGAGGAAGGGAGGCGGCCACCGGAGGGGAGGCAGCCCCGTGGGAGGGACGCGTGGGAAGGTTAGCGCAACGGGACTAGCTGGGATGAAGGAGCCGGGGAGACGTGGGTGTGGCTGTCACTTCGTCCCCGCCGTGAGGCGCGCAGGACGGTGTTCTCCTGGGGACGTCCCCGCCCTGATCGCCGGAGCCCGTAAGTAGCTGGACTTCAGTGGCAAAGGAGACTTGGCGACCCGGCCGCGCGGAAGGTCTGGGGACGGGGAGGGCTGGCCCTGGATCCTCCGGACGGGGCCCTGGACTCGCAGTGGTCCTCGTAAGACGGGGGCAGGAGGGACGGTGGGGAGATGGAGGGATGACCGTGGGTCCGCGGTGGCGCTGACGCTCCCAGGAGGTGGAGGAAGGAGCCACGCGTGGGGGGATGTCGGCAGCTTCTGGAAGCCAGGAGAGGCGAGGAAACGGACCGTCCCCTTCCACTCCGCGGCACCCAGACAGAGGGCGATGCCGCCTACGGGTTCTCCGTCGGTCTGTCCGGCTTACGTTCCTGGACGCCCTCTGGGACCCGCAGAGCTTCCTCTGCTTCCGCCGAAATCCCCCGGGGGTCTCGTCCAGGGACCTCGTGGGACGGGTCCCCGCAGACACTAGGGCGGCGCAGGGCGTTCGGACACCTCACGGCCGCTTGGCAGAGCCGGAGCCAGCGGGTGTCCGTGTCGCGGGCCCGGACACGCTCTCCCTGCCTGCCGTGGACGGGGCTGGGACTGCTGTTCCCGTCAAAGCACTGTTTAAACTTTCGGGTCCACCTAATACCTATTAGTAAATAGCATTTCAAGGCCCGGCCGTGCTGCTCTAAGTTCCTCTGCCCCGTGTCTTGTCCAAGTACGTGCCCAGCAGGCCCTGTGGGGCAATGAGGCGCAGAACCCGGTTAACTCGCGTCGTCTTCATTTGAGGGATGAGCCGTTGTTTGGAGGAGGATTAAAATTGGTGACAAACAAAGTAAGAATAGCATCTATCAGCCGGGCTTGTTGAATACCAGTTGCGTGCCGTGGTCCATTCCGACATGGACACAGTCCTGCGCGCTTCCCGCCGAGCTCGGTGACTCTCCGCAGTACTTTCCGGTCCCCTCTGATTCTGTTCCGTCCACGCTCCTCAGTCCCGTGGCCGGGGGCCGGGGGGTTTACACCGTCACGGGAACTCACATTGTCTTTCATGCTATTACTCAATGAGTGCCTGGGTTCCCCACCAAAATAAAAGCCACGTGAGCACATCGTCCAGTTGCACAGTTTGAATGCACAAAGTACAGGCATTGGATATATGAAAAAAGTAAAGTAAAATTAATTTAACTTCAGCGAGGAATCTTAGCTGGAGCCCTAAATTTACAATAAAGAATCAGATTAATCTGATCCAGGTGGGAACCCAGGTATTTGTGTTACTAGAAACACACCGTCCACTCACCCCACCCCCCCCAACCAGAAAACAGTAAAAGCAAAACAGTGTTTTTTTTTTTTTCGTTGAATCAAGGTCAGGCAGTTACAAGCGGGCATCTCAGTTCCTTTCCTGTCACACTATTTTCTCGCAAACATTTCTTTCAGTCGTCTGAGAAGGTTTCTAAAATTGAACGGTCGCCTTTCACAGGCCTTATCTGTGTTCACGTCTCACGAGTCCACTAAAGACGTTTAAATACTTATTTCGCAGTCCGGGTGGGCTTCCTAACGCTTCCCGGGGCATGGTTTCAAGATGACGCGAGATCCGGCACTCGCCCCGCTGAAGGAGACAGTTTGGGAAATAAAACCGACTGAGACCCTCCTTCCCCCTAGAGCTCCTGTGTCTGCAGCCAGGCCATGAGGCAAACGTCTAGAAACGGTTTCCGCACCAGTGAGAGTCCTGAGTCTCATGTACGCGTTTCCCGTTCCCACGCCCTGTGCTGGTGACGACAGACGCGGAGTTTATTCAAACGCAGACGCCAGGGCAGGGACCAGCCAGGTGGTTCGAGCCCTCAGCGGCCGCGGAGACACAAAATGAGGAGCGGAGCTGGATCCCTGCACTTCCCTTGGGCTGCGTGGTGCTAAATTATACCTGAAACTCCGGCCCTTTCGGCCCCGCAGGCCTGGGAGCTCATCCCCGCGACAATTATAACTAAATACGCACAGAGCGGGGCTGGGGGAGGCGGCCGCTGCGGGGCCTGCGCTGTAGTCAGGCTGAAGTGGGGGCGTTTAATACACACGATATTTTATGCACATTTACATTGGAAATTATTAGAAATTTTAGAGTAACGATTATGGTGCAATCACTAGAAACCAAAATGCACTGAACGGGGTCCATAAATAGAAAGTTACATTTAGCTGGTAGGTTTCAAAAGCCCATGAAGAATCACACATCTCGGTGTAGGGCCTTGTCCATTTTAAACATTACGTGTTTTTTATTTAATTGACTTTATTGGGGTGACCTTGGTGAATAAGATTATGTAGGTTCAGGCGTATGATTCTATACAGATCATCTGTGTATCGCATTGTGTGCCCGTCACCCAAACTCTAGTCTCCTTCCGTCACCATTTACCCCGTTTACCCCTCCTGCCGGCCTCACCCCCCTTCTCCGTGGCCATCGCTTACCCCCTCCTGCCGGNGCCCCCCTTCCCCGTGGTCCTCGCTTACCCCCTCCTGCCGGCCTCACCCCCTTTCCCCGTGGTCATCGCCACGCTGTTGTTGTGTCTATGAGTTTGGGGGTTTTTTGCTTAATCCCTTCACCTTTTTCACCCAGGCCCCCGACACCCCTCTCCACCGGCAGCTGTCGGTCTGTTCTCTGTGTCTATGAGTCTGTTTCTATTTTGTTTTTTGTTTCTATATTAAGTTAACCTTGAAGTGGTGCATTTATAAACGGAACACTACTCAGCCGTAAAAAAGAAAAAAAAAAGGAAATTTACCTTTGGCAGCCCCGTGGACGGACCTAGCGGGTGCCGTGCTAAGTGGGGGGAGCCAGTCGGAGGAAGCCAAGGGCGCGTGAGTTTACCTCTCACCTCAGAGAAGACTCAAGGGACCTTCCCGCGTTTCCCGCTGGCTGTGGGGAAACAGACGGCACCGCGGTGAGTCCCACGGGCGTGTGGTCGGAAGTCAGGGAAACTGGACGGGATCGTCTGAGAACCCGTCCGGGCGCCGTCTTGATACCTGTGACCGTGAAATACACTCATTGCTCAAGTTACGAAAACATTCCTGACGCGGACAAGGTCCTGCTCGTGAGGAGACGGCGGAGACGCTCTCCTGCTCCTGCTCTCAGTAGTGGCCCGAGTTTGTCCCCCTGGGGAGGACTGGTGGCCACCGGCCGCGGCCTCCGCGGGAGGCAACTGCTCGCGTGGCCCGGAGCCTTCCTGCGTGGGTGTGAACGAATCCCCGGTGTGTAAATAAGCCCCTCTGTGCTTTAGGCAGGACCCGCATCTCAGGGCCGTCACCGCCATCAGGACGTGAGGTCGTGCACTTTGGGGGAGGGGGTGCCCGGTGTCACGCTCAGAACAGAGAGGACAGGACAGGACAGGGAGCCAGAACCTCCGCTGGGCCCAGTCGAGGTGGCAGAGGGGAACATTCAGACCGGGAGACGCCCCAACTACTGGGAAGATCGAGGTCCGAGGACTTGGTGAGGCCCTGGGCGCAGGTGAGCCTCTCTGGGGGGGCGGGTGCCCAGCACACAGCGGGCACCCCAAGCCTGAGGGCACACTGTGCGCCCCCAGACGGGGCCCGGGGTGTCCGGTGAAAACACGGCGTCTGGAGAAACATTGGAAACCAGGAGTGACCGTGGCTCTGAGATCTGAACACGTGAAGGCTCAGAGGAGGAGGGAACTGAGCCGTTTTCCTAAATACAACACAGACCCGAATGTTCGGGAGCCCGAAGGCGAGCTCGTCACACCCGGCACTGGCAGACGAGGGCGCCGGGCTTCAGGTCTGGGTTTTCCAGCCCCGGTGCTCTTGCTAAACACGCGACCCCTCGGTCCCGGCCGGCCCGGCACGAGCTGCGGTCGTCAGAGCCGCGCTGATGTCAGCTGCGGGGGAGGGGAGGCCGTTTGCTCCCGCAGATTTGCCTCCGACGGAGGGTGACAGGCGGCGGCGCCCCCGTAATTTCGTGAGAATGGTATTACCCTGGCTTTACCCGCGCCCGCCGGGCACCCCCGTCCGTGAGCGCCGGCCTCGCTGCAGAGTGGGAGCCCCGCCCGGCCCTTTGTCTGGGGGCAGAGCGCTCACGTCCCGCGAGCGGGGCCGCTGCGGGGTGACCATGTACCGGAGCAAACGCCGGCTTCAGAGATGTAAGTACCCCCCGGCCCCGGACGCGGGGACGCGTGCCCACTCCGCCCGGAGACTGACCCCGACTTCTTCGG